CCCTCCCTCCCTCTGTTTCTTTCTTCTCCCCCCTCCCTCTCTGTTTCTTTCTTCTTCTCCCCCCTCCCTCTTTTTTTTCTTCTCCCCCTCCCTCTCTCTGTTTCTTTCTTCTCCCCTCCCTCCCTCTCTGTTTCTTTCTTCTCCCCCTCCCTCCCTCTCTTTTTTCTTCTCCCCCCTTCCTCCCTCTTTCTTCCCCCTCCCTCCCCTACCTGTGTGGTAGTGTGGCCGAGCCCAGTATAGTCCGACCGGTACAGGGAGCTGTTGTTTCCTGTACCCGGCCGGACTAACAGGAAGTGAACACTTCCTGTTAGTCCGGCCGTGTACAGGAGACAGCTGCTCTCTGTACCGGTCGGACCATGCCATACAGGGCTCGGCCACGCTACAGAGAGGGAGCTGACAGGAGGGAGCGCTGAGCGCTTCCCTCCTGTCAGCCTCTCCTCAGGCTGCGCCCGGGCGGTGCGGTCCGCCCTCATGGACGCACCGCCCGGGCAAACCTGGCTGCAGCCGCCTGAGGCTCTATACAGAGCGCTCGGGCGGCTGCAGGATAAGCGGGGCCGGCGCTCCTGACGGCGCCCCCGCTCCTGACGGCGCCCCCTCCCAAGGGGCGCCCTAGGCGGCTGCCTAGTCTGCCTTACAGGTAGCGCCGGCCCTGCTGTCTTTACTCATTTATATATATATATAAAAAAAAAAAAAATCAAGCACCAGATTTGACCACATTACGTGGAGCACTAAATTATGCATTTTACCCTCACCTATACCAAAGTAGGTGACTCACACCTGTCAACTGTGGCAGGACTGCTATTATGATAGGTACCGGCGTATACCGGATGATGGGTGTGTTCATAATTAATATTATAGACATCATTCCTGTTCACAACTGTGGTTCATCCTGGCACACACGCACGCCAAAATTATATCTTGCCCGGCAGGACAGCCTTTCAAGTGGATAAGGTCTTAAATATCTTGAAAATCATGAAAAATTAAGCATGAGCTTTGGTAGTCATGCTCTTGAGCTACATTTTCCCATAGTCCTTCAGACACCAGCGATCCGAGGGAACATTAGATGTGACTTGACAGGTGGTGTTGACTACCTGCATATCCAGTAGATGTAGGTTTGAATCAAAGAATTTAGGACTTGAGGTAAGCCATCTAGTAGAGATACCTGGATGATGAAAACTGTAATCTTAATGGATCGTGAAGCATATGAGAAAAGATGAAGCTATTGTAAACACCATCACCAAAGTGTAAATATGGTTGAACTATAAAAACATCTGCTTGTCTAGACTCTAGACTGAGGTCCCCGTATATTCAGAGGAATGTATTATGTCCTAAAAAAGCAGGTCTACATTTAACACTTGTTTTCAACAAAATCTTGCTATCTGTCTCAATAATATTCATTGCTCCTTCCCTATTTCATCACTAAGCTTTAGTCATTGTTTCCAAGTTATCAAAGATAAATCACTATTTCTTCAAATTAACTCCACCATTGGTCTTGCCAAATAAATGTCCTTGTTTAATGGCATTTTTATGGGTTGACTTGCAATAACTTTAATAATAGTGGCTGTGTTTCATTATGGCTGGAGCTTAATTATGAGCAACAAAATCTTTTCAAAACTGCAGGATTTTACAGGAGAATTTAATCACAACAGGTCTGGGATATAATAAATATGTAGATGATTCTGGTCGATTAGTTGCCACATGTATTGTCTTTGTGTAAAAACTCCTCTTTTCTCTGTTAAATCTTCACTATAACAACCAATATTGCTCTGTATAAACATCTCTTAGGGCCATATTAACAGCTCATGGTGTTGTGTTTTCCACAGTAAACAACAGGACAATTATATTACTCACAGTTCTAGTGTCATCTCTTGCCTTTAAAAGAATATGATGGGCTCCCAAATATTTGGTTTGAAAAGAAGTGGGATAACATAAAGAGGTTAAAAAATTTTTTTTAAAAAAAGAGCACAAGATCGTCAGACATGATTGAACAGATATTTAACATAATTTCCATGCTTAAATATATTGCAGGTTTTAATATTTATTATTATAAATATTCTCAAATGAAGAATTTTAATATTGTCCTTCATTTGAGACCTCCAACCCACCTCTGTTTACCAGGTGATAAATCATCTCTTATGGAAATTCAATGTCTCACCTGTTTAGTCCTTGGTAAAGGCTGATTTCTAAACATGTGCCAAACTAATATTTTCATTTGTTCAGGTTATTTATGTCCTATTAGTCCCCCACCCCCAGCTCTCCCTGTACCTTGCTGTAGTGTGGCCGAGCAGGCAGACCACGGTAGAGGAGTTTCTACCCGGTTTGACAGGAAGCAGTCATGTGCTCTCAGTGAGCACTTCCTGTCAGAGCGGCTAGGGGAATAGAAGCTCCTCTACCTGCATTCTGCTTGCACGGCCACGCTACATTCTGTGACCGGCAGGAGGGCCGGTTACTCTGTAATTGCACCGTGCAGCCTGCAGGCCAGTGTGCACTAGGTGGCCGCGCACCAGCCTGATTGTATCCCGTTGGGCCAGTTCGGCCAGAGGGGGGGGAATTTCCATTACCTGTCCCCCCGCATGATTTCCTGGGGGAGATGCGTCCTTCACCCCCCCGGTTCCTACACCCGTGGATGAGACACACAGTGGTGTATCCTGGTTTTGTGCTGCCCTAGGCAGGACAAAACTCAGGCGCCCCCCTCCCCCCCGCGCCACCCCCACCCAACCCTTCCCCCCGCCCCACCTTCTAAATACACACACACACAGTCAGACACAAACACACACACACAGTCAGACACATACACAAACACACACAGTCAGACACATACACAGACACAGTCAGACACAAACACACACATACACAGTCAGACGCACACACACACACACAGTCAGACACATACACAAACACACACACAGTCAGACACATACACAGACAGTCAGACACAAACACACACACATACACAGTCAGACACACACACACACATACACAGTCAGACACAAACACACACAGTCAGACACAAACACACACACACACAGTCACATACACAGACACAAACACAGTCAGACACAAACACACACACAGTCAGACACATACACAGACACAAACACACACACTCACAAACACACACACAGTCAGACACAAACACACACACAGTCAGACACAAACACACACACACATTAACTTTTTTTTTATTTAAATCCCCCCCCCCAACCTCCTTACCTTTGGGAGTGCTGGGGGGGGGTCTCTCTCCCTGGTGGTCCAGTGGCTGCAGGGCGTGCGGCGCTGGCAGGTGGGCGGCCGGCGAGGGAGCACTTCCCATGAGCTGACTGCTCAGCTCCCTCGCGCGTCGGCTGCAGAGTGAGGCTGGGAGCCGGAATATGACGTCATCTTCCGGCTCCCAGCCTCACTCTGCGGTGCGCGAGGGAGCTGAGCAGTCAGCTCATGGGAAGTGCTCCCTCGCCGGCCGCTCGGGATGTCAGTTAGCCGCGAGGCTAACAAGGCATCTGCCCTGGGCATTTGGGGGGCGGCGTTTTTTGCCGCCCCCTGAAAAATGCCGCCCAAGGCAAATGCCTTGTTTGCCTCGCGGCTAAAACGCCCCTGGAGACACATGGAGGGGCTTGGAAGGAATGAGACTCATGGAGGGGCTGGGGGGAGGAATGAGACATGCCCCCGTGATTTTTAGTTACACCTCTGTCTGCAACCCTACTTGTCCCTTTACATTAGGTTGTGACTAGGTTCACTCAACACATCCTGTAGTGTTTACCATATTTCTTAATATGCATACCTACCATATCATCTGTACAGAAGTATTTTACTAATTTAGAAATTAAAAGGGTACTTTTATTGGAAAAAATATAGAAACACAGAAAAAGAGAAAAAAAAAGCATGGATACATTTGATTCCAAAATAAGGAAAACGCAAAGATTTTTATTTACTTTGGGGATTTTAAATAGTTTTCTTATTTCTCTGTAACATTGGTGTAGACCTTTTTGTAAGCTAGGGAACAGCACCGCCTTTCAGCCTAGCCTTAGAAATTGATTTGGACTTATAGTTTTCATAAAAGCTATAAAGTGAAACGTTCGGTTTTACCACTAATAACCGTGTATTGCATTGTTGTACAAAACCAGCGTTTTCATGGTTGCATTTAGTAACTTCACAACTTCACCACTAAGTGGCAGGCTCCATCAATTTGAGACTGGAAACTAACCTCACATGTGCTCATCAACCGATTAAAACAATGTTTATCACTCATTGAATTTTCTAAAATATTTGTACTAAACTTTTAAGCCTTTTACACCATTATACAGATGTATTGTTTACATGTCTGCTTTGCTCATGCTTCAATCCGTTAAACTGGACATACGCTTAAAGCGGCACTGTCATGCCAAACTTTTCCCCAATTGATTCCTCTTCTCTCCCTCTCTCATGATCTGTTCTTCATTTCTTCCTGTCTGCTCTAGTTTTCCTTAAAACATAAGACAAAGTAGGGACTATTTTGTCTTAAGGAGGTTTCCTACGCCTGACCATCTCTGACTAGCGGAGGAGCAAAGTGTGCTCCGTTTCCTGTGGTCAGAGAAATTCTCCCACAATTCTTACCTTTCCTCAGTGATCTCGCGATGCTTCCTGTCAGTATTCCCGAACATCCTGTCATTTCAGAAATTACCGAATTTAGTCCCAAAAGAATGAGAACAGCTTCTCCATTCGTGTTAGGATGCAATTCAGGACTTTCTTCAGATCAGAATTTCATTCGAATGAATAGGCAGCTATCTACCAAAATTTACTAAATTACAAATTTACTAATACGAGCAGGGCCGGACTGGCCCACCGGGATACCGGGAAGTTTCCTGGTGGGACGCAGCACCTGGGGCTGGGCTGACAGCCCTTATCAGTGCTCAGGCTCCTGTGATCCCGGCCAGCTATGCGTGAGCTGTTACAGAAAAAAGAAAGGAAGGCAGCGCCACTATAAACCACATAAATTAAAAGAGCACAGAATAGGCAGACTAGAATGCAATATATATGATAGATAATAAGCAAATAGAAGTCCAGAATAAATAGTCTGACTGGTAGATGAATCAAACAACGAGGTATATCTTTGTAGAGGTGAATACAGTCTTTTGTAGTGGGGGATTCTTCAGAGTGGTGTAGATGCGTCTTTGTACATCATATGAAATGAGAAAATAACAACTGATGGTATAGTATGTCCGAAAGGGGTAGAAGCAATAAAAGAGTATATGGTCCTACTCACGTTTTCAAGAGCTATGGACTTAGCTCTAGTGTTGATAACGTACAGTGGTATAATCCCCACTTATGGGATACGTGAGGTCTTAGTATTCTTTCTTGATTAGGGAACCATATGTGGAAATAAAAGCGGGAACAACAATGGTGCTCAAAGTATAAAATGCCAGAGGTGAGAAGATAAAAAACCAAGTGGTTACTCACATTTAGTTGAACAGACTAACTGTTCAATGAATACAGCTTGAGTGGTATAATCCCCACCTAGGATTCTTGGGAGTAATATCCTCACTAGAAAGTAAAAACACTTCTGTGCCGGATAAAAGGATGGTAGTAGTAAAAAAGTAAAATAATAATAGTAATAAAAAGTAAGATGGCTAACTCACAGTAAGAAAGTGGCCAAAATACCTTTATTTAAAACAATATAGTTTAAAAAAACCACAACGCGTTTCGCCCTTAGGCTTTATCAAGTGGAGATCAGAAAGTACATCCTGTTACATACAGGTTTATATAGGCGTGAACATATTAGAAAATGGCGCCAAAATGATGTCATCATTTTTAAAAAAAAAAAAATTTTCTCAAAAGTGCTAAATTTTATATGTGTAAGTGAGTACATACCTATATGTGAAACATGTGATAGTTTAAAATTTAAATTAAAAACAAGGTTTTATACTCACAATATCTTGCATATTATTTAAATAGAACAGTCACGTATATAAGTCACATTATATAAATATGTACTTCATGCACAAAATAATTATAGAAGGTAATAAAATATAAGAAATATATTATAAAAAATTAATTATAAAAAATTATAAAAAATTAAACAGGTCGAACTCTACATTAAGACCTTCGGGGGTAAGGGTTTTTAAAAGGAACACCCAGTGCATTTCTTTTTGTCCCAGTAATTTTTTGAGGTCACCTCCCCTCCAGGGTAATTTACATCTTTGGATCCCAGTACATTTTAAAAATTTAGGGTCTTTGTTGTGTTGAATAAAATGCTTTGAAACAGAGTGATTAGGGTAGCCTTTGATAATATTTCTACAATGTTCTGCTAACCTTATTTTTAAGCATCGTGTGGTCATACCCACATACTGGAGGCCACATGGGCACTCCAATAGGTATACAACATTCTTAGTAGTGCAACATATTAAATCTTTGATAGGGTATGTAATACCGGTTTTGTTTGAGGTGAATTGTGTTGTCTTTGATGTGCTGTTTTGGTCAGTGGATCTGCAGACAATGCATCTGTTGCATTTGAAAAAACCTTTAGAATTTGATAAAAATTATGGATTGCTTGTATTGGCTTTTTTTGTATAATTTTTAGTAAGCATTGTCTTTAGGTTTGGGGCCCCTCTAAAAATGATATGGGGTTTATCTGGGATGAGTGTCTTTAAAATTTCGTCTTGTTTTAAAATGTGCCAGTGTTTTTGAATAGTTTTTTTCACAATTTTATTCTTATTGTCAAAGTTAAAGATGATCGGCATGCATGGTGGGTCTTTATTTTTATTCGTATTATATTCTAAAAGCTCGAGTCTTTCTTTTTGTTTCACTGCTTTGAGGGAATTTTCTAGCTTTTCTTTTGGGTAATTTTTACTGATAAATTGAGCTTCTAGTGTTCTAGCTTGTTCGTCGAAATCTGTATTAAGGGAACAGTTCCTGCGAAGACGTAGGAACTGACCTTTAGGGACCCCATCTAACCATGGTTGGTAGTGGCAGCTTGATCTGTCAATGACTGTGTTGGTGCACACTTTTTTAAAAAAAGTTCTAGTGTTAATATTCCCATCCTGGATAAAAATTTGGATGTCTAAAAAATTTATTAAATCTTTGCTGTGTTCTGATGTTAAAATGATGCCACTATTGTTGTTGTTTAGATGGTTTAAAAAAAGTTTAAGTGAGGTTACAGGACCTTTCCAGATAAAAAACAAGTCGTCTATGTATCTAAAATAGGATACTAGGTTTGCTTTCCAGGGGTGATCTCCCCAGATTGCTTTAGACTCCCAATTTTCCATAAAAAGATTGGCATAACTTGGTGCAAACCTAGTACCCATAGCTGTGCCTTGTCTTTGAATGTAAAAAGTGTCTAAAAACCAAAAATAGTTATTTGTTAAAATAATTTTTATCCCTTCTAAGATAAAATTCATTTGTTTTTCTGGAATTTAATTATCCGTTTTTAATCTATTTAAAACTGCTTCACACCCTAATTCGTGGGGGATTATGGTGTACAAAGACTGGACATCACAAGTGACTAGAATAAAATCTGGATGCCAGGTAAAATTTTCTAAAAAACGTAAGAGAGACATGGAATCTTTTAAGTATGACCTCATAAGTCTGACTGATGGTTGTAATAAAATGTCAATATACTCTGATAAGTTTGATAAACCAGAATTGATCCCGGAGACAATAGGTCTACCTGGTGGATTGGTCTCATTCTTGTGTATCTTTGGTAAAAAGTATATAACTGGAATTTTTGGATGAGGTATATTTAAATAAGCAAATTCTTTTTTGTTGAGGATATTGGAATTTAAGCCTTTGGTTAAAAATGATATAAGGGAGTTTTGGATGGTATGGGTTGGGTCTGATAGTAGCTTGTCATATACTTTGGGGTCATTTAGCTGTCTAAATGCTTCTTTGATGTACATTTCTTGTGAGAGTATAACTAGGCCGCCCCCTTTATCGGCTGGTTTGATGACTATTGTGTCATCTTTTTTAAGATCTGTGAGAGCTTTTCTTTCTTGAAAGGTTAAGTTATATTTATGATATTTGTGGTTGTTTTTTTTGGAGGTATTAATTTTTTCTAAGTCTTGCTTTACCAAATTCTCAAAAACTTCTATCGGGCCAGATTTGAAACTTGATGGGTAAAAATTAGAGTTATTCTTAAGGGTGGTGTTTTTCACTGGTATCTCGTCATTAATACATGGAGGTGTGGGGGAATAGTTGGTCTGTCCCTGGTTAATAGATTGAGTCTCAATTCTGCTGCTAAAAAATCTTTTTAGTGTAGCTTTCCTAACAAACTTATTTAAATCTAAAAAGGCTTGGAATGGTTGATAGGGATTGGTAGGTGCAAATTTGAGGCCCTTAGTTAAAACCGATATTTGGGTAGTAGTTAAATTTTTTGGGGAAAGGTTAAAAATTCCATGAGGGTTGTCTGTATTAGTTAGTGTCTCTCTAGTCTTTCTCTTTTGAAATCTTCTGCACTTCTCCTTCCTCTAGGCTTAGATTTCTCTTTTTTGTTCTGGGTAGGTAAGGTGTGGCAGTAAGTGGATTTGGGCCTAGTTCTAAAAAATGATCCTCAGTGTCTGTGTCCAAATCTGTAGATAACACTTGGTATCTATTAGGATGGTGTGTGGAGGGTAGGTGAGGGGGTGTGCTGGGATGGGTGTGTTTGAATGTATGTCTGAATCTTTGAGGTCTGGGTGTGAGATCAGGTCTTTGTGGGATAGTCATGAGTGGGACAGGTTTGGTGGGCCTGGGTTTAGGATAGTTGGAATAGGAGGGTGAAATGGTTGGGGGTGAAATGTGGTGGGAAGAGCTGTGATACTTCTGTGGTGGTGGTTGGTGGTAGTTGTGGTGCCTTTGGTGGTAGGGGACGTGAGGAGGTTGTCTGTGATGGATGTAGCGTGGGTGGGGTCTGCTGGGGTAATGTGTAGGCGCATGAGGAGGATAATCTGAATAATAGGAGTGATGGCGAGTGTGGGAGACAATAGGTCTTCTGGGATCTTGTTGGTTAGGGATGGTGGAGGGGTGATTGAAGGTCTGAGATGTGTATTTGGACTTATTGTTGAGGTGGTAAGTCCTTACTTGGTTCTTTGTGTAGTCATGTTTATCTCGGATATATTTTTTTACTTTAATGTGTTTAGTGTCCATCTCTACTTTTTCTATTTTGTTTTGAATGATAATAGAATTTTGTTTGAATACTTGTGTCTCTGTGAATGGTAAAAGTTTGTCCTGAAGTTTTTTTATTTCAGTGTCTAATAATGATAATTTTTTACTCTTTTTTAGAATTAAAGTTTCCATAAGACCAAAAGTGCATGACTCGAGCTTGTTGTTCCACTCTTGCATGAACTCATAGTCATCTTGGTCAGAGGTTGGGAGTTTGAAAAATCTAAAGCCTCTGGGGGTTATTTGTTCTTCTATATATTTTTTTAGAGTGGCTATCTCCCATTTGAGTTTTATCTCAGATGTTAAAACTTTTTCGAGTGATATAAATAATTCCTGTTGATTATATGTCTCTATTATAGTGGGAGTGGGTAGTATATCTTCAGTATTAAAAACATTGTTAATGTCAATAATGTGGTTGTTCCTAAAATCAAATATGGACATGGTGCAGGGATAGTATAGAGGGCAGCTCTCTCCAGAGGGATTGTAGGAGTATAGAACAGAAGAAAGGGATCAGCGCTCTCTATCTATACAAAATACAACAGAAACAAT